GATGTGGATGTAGATGTGGATGTGGATGTGGATGTATGGCTAGAGGTAGTGCAGCTAGAGGTAGAGATAGATCTGGACCTGTAGCTACTACAGCTAGTGATAGTAGTAGTGATAGAGCATGTTTAGTGGTGGTGTGATGTATTGACAGTGATGTACTGACAGTGATGTACTGACAGTGATACTGCAGCTATTGATACTGCTGCTATTGATACTGCAGCTATTGATACTGCAGCTATTGATACTGCTGCTAGTGATACTGCTGCTATTGACACTGCTGCTAGTGATACTGCTGCTACTAGTGATACTGCTGCTAGTGATACTACTGCTAGTATTAGTGATACTGCTGTTAGTACTACTAGTGATACCACCAGCATTTAAGTTACTGTCATCTCATTCCCATAGTAACTTCATTGTTTTATGATGTTTCTTACTGTTCAAAAATCTTTGACTCTATGACCAATAAGATAAATACCATGATGTTTCTTCAGAATCCAACCCCCAGATCCCCCCTTCCTCCGAGAAAACCAATTACAGTCAAAACTGTTCTACTCTTTTTTATTTTTCGACTTGTTCCATGATTCATCTGATTGATTGATCTTGATTCTTTTGTTGATTGAGTTCCTTCATGATTTTTACTACTAAACATGTAGTTATATACCTAGTATACAACATACAGACCTATATTACATACCTGAATAGGGTGTGGACAGTTGACAGTCGACAGTCGACACGCACTCTACAAAACCATCATACAGTAGTACGTAGTATACTCTTATTGGTACTGCTGCTGCCTGGTACTTGCGTAGCTATCGGCACATATTGCGAAATGTTCATACTATTAGGCTCTCTACTAGTGCATGTTATTGGGTGTTTACAGTAAAGAGGAGTGAGTGCATTACAGCTGGTGTTGCTGTCTGTTGGCTATAGTGCACTGGACTTCATTATCTTTACTACTACTAGTGTGCAGTAGCCAGTAGTAGAACTTTGAAGAATTCTTACAGCCCTGGACTTGCGGAGGAAACAAAAATAAACTTTTTTAGTGTGGATTTCTTGTGTAAACCCTGGTATACCATTTTTGCAAATAAATTAGTACCTTGACCAAAACAAATTATTCATTTTTAACTTAAAACATTCAGTCATTATTGTGACAACAAATAGTCATTCTAGCAATAACCGTCCTTCAAAAAAAACAATGGCAGCGGCAACCAATCATTACTCAATAGCTATTCATGATTGTGTAACATGTATGCGATTTCGGCTGGGGTTATTCTCCTCACACATATTACCGGTCCGGCAAAGCAACAGCACATCGATATCATGGGAAGATACAGGAGGGCAAGACACAGGACAGACCACGGTGGACGCATGTGGATACCCACGCGAGGCCCACCCGTGACTGGCCCAGGTGACTCCCCCCGCACGTGCCGAGACAGAGCACACTAGGTAATATGATACGACGATACGATGATATGGACTAGTAGGTACGTAGGCAGCGTCCCGCGAGGAGGGGGCCAAGAGACGACCGGGCCAGGGCATAGGTAGGGCACCTGGTGGGGTGCCCTCGCATGTACTACAGCTCAGGTGAGAGCCACCTGACGTACGACCCAGGTGGGTACAACCTCATGTAGTAGTGAGGTCACTCCCACCTGGCAGCACCACGGTACCTACTACATGAGCCGCACCTCTTGTACAGCCCAGTAGGTACTGCACCAGTACGTGACGGCGGCCTCACATGACATCACGTGACAGCGACCTCACCTGACACTCCTCACCTGAGACTGCTGCAAGGGCATCGCGATAGGGCTTCCATCTGCTGCCACACAGAATCCTGGTGCAACAGCAGTTGATGCCCTCCTACCTCATGCCCAGGTTGTTGCATGGCAATGGGATCACCAAAGCTCAAAAATTCCCACCATCCCCCACCCGCGATGGTACCTCTGTGCACTTTCATACCTGCCTGAGTGTTTCCCCCACCTGAACCCCATATCAGTCCTGGGATTCACATACACTCAGTCCCCCTTTTCGTATCACATTCACCTAGTAGCTTTGTTATCCGCCACCTATGTATGTACCATAGCTAGCATAGTATACAAGCGTATGAATGTGAGCACAGAGTCCACGTACAACCGAGGCGGCGCCGGGGTACGGTATCCCAACGGGATACGGAAAGAACCGTTGAGTTTGATTTTCGCGCCACCAAGAATCCAAAAATCAAGAATCCTAGGGGCAAAACCAACAATTGCAAAACCTTTTTGTTGCGACATTCTTGTTACAGTACGCGGTGCAAAGTCCTGTTTCATCGACTTGGAGAACGGCAGGATCGGATCGGATCGGATACCACGGATCGGATACCACGGATCGGATACCACGGATCGGATACCACGGATCGGATACCACGGATTGGATACCACGGATTGGATACCACGGATTTGACAAAGACAGTGGACAGGGCGCATTGGCTCTAAACCGAAACGCTGCCACAAATCGTTCCCCGCTGCGTGGAAGAGTACGTACCATTACCGCGTACCGACACAACCGGAGAAAGTCTTCGAGTTTTGCAAACGGGACCAACGCATCTTTGCATCGTTTGCTATCTCGATTCCCGCCATGGCATCGAAACAACGGGAACGCATCAAGGCGTTTCTGCTGGTCGTGTTTAACCTCCTAGCAGCCAACACGTTCTACCTATGCTACGTATGCATGTACATTCTGTCGGAGGACATGGACGTCTCGGAGCACCATCCCGAACAGGTCCACGTTCCCCATCCAGAGGCGCACCTTCTCGAGAACCAGAAGCTCCATCACCGACTGCACAACCCGAACCACATCGAATGGAACGGCTTTAGAAAAGGAAAAGCAAACGGAACTGTAGAGCGGAACGAGAACAAAAACAAAAATGAAAACAATAGCAACATAAATACCAACACCAACAACAGAAACGAACATCAGACAGACACCGGAAACAAACAGAAACACACCGGGGAAGGCCATCCGCAGTCGACACGAAACGAGAAACCACACGGGAACGAAACAAACAACACCCAGCAGCATCCTCTGCTGGATTGTACCCGCTACGGTGGTCCCCACGATTTTGACTCTTTGGACGAGATGGTCTACTGGAAACACATACCAGAGGACGCAACCTATCAGTCCAGGTTTAAAAATAAAGGTGACAAGGGAGAGCAGTTCCTTACCTTTGACACTGACATGTCGGGCTTCAACAACCAGCGGATGGTATTTGAGATCAATGTTGCCACGGCCATTGCCACGGGAAGAACCCTTGTAATGCCCAGAGACCGTGTGATGGACCACATTCATAAGACGCACAAGTTTGCTATGGACGACTTTTTTGACCTTCAAAAGATTGCAGGAGAATTGCCTGACATTCTCAAGCTCATGACTATTGATGACTACATATCTCAAGAAGGCGGACCAGAGAAGCTCAACATTCCCAGGGACTTCACTGGCTTTGGCAAGAAGGTTGGTGAAATGATAAGGGAGATCCAGGAGGACAAGACGAGACTGACTAGCAACTACTACAATCATCACGACAAATTTCTCATCAACCATGTCAACGATCTCCACTGCAACGTCACCGAGCATGGGGAGGAATACTGTAGCAACTACACTGACTGGATTAACCAACGCCACGTCTCAAAGACCCACGGGATCTGGCAGTTTTATTTGGATGAGTTTTTTCATGACCATCCAAAGGTGGTTTGTCCAAAGTGGGGAAGCAGTATATGTCTTTTGACTATTCCAGTCTTTGATGCCCCAAACCATAACAATACAATCATCAATACCACTGACAACACCAGTAGCTCCGATCGATTCAAAGCCTGGATGAAGGACTTGGATGGAAATGTTTGGGAACGACAAAACAGCTTTATTGGTAATCCGCCCCTTGTCAATGATCCACCAAAGAAACGCGTCTCAGAGCTCTACCAAGCTCGCAATGGCCTCTGTGTCTACGACCAAAACATGCAGCAAAGCAAATACTATCATATGCGGGACACAGCAGATCGGGAGTCTAGGCTAATTGGCCACTGGTATGACTACATCTTCTTTGAAGACTGGAAAGAAGACTTGTGGATGAAGCGCTTCATGAGGGACAAGCTCAAGTACAATGACCTGATCCAGTGTACGGCAGCCAAGATTGTTGCTGACATTCGCAAAACATCCAAAACTCTATACAATCACCCTGATGGCCAGTTTCACTCAATGCATGTCCGGAGGACAGACCTCACAAAATTTTACAAGGATTATGATATTGACCGGAATGCCTCGGAGATCTACAATGAGTTAAAGCGCCACATTGTCCCGAAAGATAGTGTTGTGTTTGTGGCCACTGATGAAGCTGACAAGCACTGGTTTGATGTATTTAGGGAAAACTACCAGAGGGTGTATTTTCTGGATGACTTTGTGGAGGGCTATTTGAAAGATATTCCAAAGGAATACTATGGCATGATTGACCAGCTGGTGGCCTCAAGAGGAGAGCACTTTGTTGGCACATACTACTCAACCTTTACTGGCTATATCAACCGCCTGAGGGGCTACCACTCGCAGAAGCACTACAATCCAAACCTAGTCAACTCATTGAGAAAGCCCCCCAGAGAAGCCAAGGGGATTATTCCAAGCTGGTTCTACTCTCCAAAGACAAAGATTGGTGTGTATCAGCGATATGCACCGGTGGGTTCAACCTTCTTTGAAATGGAGTATCCCCTCGCCTGGAGGAACATCGATTTCGGTGTTGGTGCCGGTGCGGATCCCACCGCCTAGGTGGTCCAGGGCCATGCGTCGAGAAACGAAATGGAACGGATGGGGCCGCCAACAAACAACGTGGCACAGACCAACGAATGAACAATACCGGTGATTTCCGCTCCATGGTTGCCATACCGGCAAAACCAGGCTAACCCCGGGTGTCATAGTTTCGACATGCTTTTGTCCGAGACATGCATTCGTCCGTTTGCGGGCACTGGTCACCAAATGGTGCAACGCAATTCATTGGAACTCGGTCTCGGTCCTTGGCACCACGGCAAATGAAGCTCCGAAATAATTGTCTGCATTATCTGTCTGGAGGGGGACGGATACCAACAACCAATCACTCGATCTGAAAAACGTTGTCCAGATGCTGTAGCCGAAGAACTCGGACCTGTGGATTTCGTTGTGATGCAATTTTGCTCATAGCAGTTGAATGTTGGGTGCGAGGGACCCAGTACGTGTCATCATTTTTCTGTCGGTTTGAGAATCGGAAATCGATTCCGGAAAATCCCAGGAAATGGGAGCTATGGGTAAAGAATGCAGGACGATGCGCTAACAAAGCGTTCCACACGTACTACCACGCTCGGACCAGGTGCTGCAAAGACCACGATTTCTCCGACACGATGGTGGAGGATTTTAACAAATGGTGAGGAAGAATTGCGACAGACCACACAAGTCTGCCCTATGCGGACGAACTTCATCGTGGGGAATAAAAGTCCATAGGAAATACGTAATATGTCCAATTGATTTTACTTTTTAACGCATCTACGAATCTAGTTGGTGTGCCATTGCAATTGGCGACATAGCTTACTAGACAACTGCATCATTGTTTTGTTTCGTATTGGACTCCAATCGTTTCGTGGCGAGTATTTTTTTCTTTGTTTCCCTTTACACCGGATCGCAATCGGTTCATAAAACGATTGCAGAAATCGAATCAACCAAATAATGCCTGGATACAACGTTGCTGAAGACAATTGATCCCATCCTGCTCGTTCTTCGAATTGCATTCTGACTGTTCTCCAGAAACGAGGCGTTGCTCTTGTTCCATGAGCCAGCTGGAAGCATACTTCGATATTTTCGGTAGAAATCGCTTCGACGTGAGGAATTTGAAACTCTCGGCGTTGACGGCCTCGGGATATTGCCGAACAAAATCGACAAAAATCGTGCTCCAGTATTCTTCGGTCTCGGTAGCGGAACGGAGCTTTCTTCCTTTGGATTTGGCAGTGAACACAGCCATCCAGAATTCCACGTCCCGCAACGTTTCGGTAAGTTTGAACTCCCTGGACATAAAGGAGGGATGTAGGGCGCAAACGTTTACCACGGCATCTCGAATATCGTGTCTCCCGATAATCTTGGCGTTTTGATAGAGCTGTGCCAAACCTAGTGACTTGGGGTTGGTTTGTTTCCTGTGGCACGACACCAAAAACTGCTCGATGTAGCCTTCCGTTGTTGTCTTCAAGCCGTCCGCGCAAAAATAGTCGCTCAGAAACATGATTCCCAAAGCATTGGATGGAGTCATTTTCACTTTTCCCAGGTAGCACCAATCGAGAAATGACTCGAAATCCTGAATGGAGACCAAACCAGATTCACAAAACTGCCTCGGCAGTTCGATTTCGCTCTGCTTTCGATGCGATTCGGAGTAGTAACCTCCGAAAACAAGTCGGTGAAAATACTTGCTCGAAGCCACGATGTGTTTGTGTATAGCATAAACAACAGTGCAGGTCCTACCCAAACCATCGTCGGCCGTGTTTCGTTCTTTCGTAATCCATTGCAATCGTGTAAAAGACTTGTTGCGATGGAGGCCTAGCGTGTTTCCGGGATTCCTCGCATGGTCGCCACGGGTAGCAGAACGACAAGTTTCGTAGTATGTAMCCCTTMCCCGCCAATCCGAAGAGTTCGGTCCCTTCCTCCTCCCGGCTCTGGTGGCCTTCCTTTTCCTTCTTCCCTCGAGTGACGCAAACAAGCTAGCACAAACAAGTTTTGGAGAGATCCGAGCCTTGGCCATGGATCGTGTCGTCGGTCCCGATCGCGATGCCCCGGTAATATCCTTGTGGTTGCGTCCGCCCCTTGTTCCCATTGCCATGGGAAGCGTCCGTCTCCTCCTCCTCCTCGTCGTCTTCCCCACCGCGTCCCCCTCTGGTTTGCTTCGTTTCCGCTCGGCCCCGCGCGGCTCCAAACCCTTGGCCGTTTCGGGTTCTCCGGAAGCCTTCCGAGCCGGGTCTTTTTCGCCCGCACGGTGGTCGTTTCGGTGGCCCTCGGTGGAGGCAGAGGCAGAGGCTGATGCAGAGTCATTCGTGGCATTCGTGGCAGCCGTTGCTGGTTTGGAATCGGTCGCCCTTGCCGCGGCGGTCCCGGCGGGTGGTTCGTTCGAGAGGGCATCGGCACCGGCACGGACACCGGTGGCCTTCCCTGTCTTGCCCGCCCGCCTGCCCGCGGAAGCATGCTTTCTCGGAGGACCTTTTGGGGGGGCAAGGTGCTTTCGGTGGGACCCTTTCCGAGACGACGACGAAAGGGGTTCGAGAGCGATCCCTTCGCCGGCGTCTTCCTCGCACGACAAATGCGATAGATCGACGACGCAACCGCCGCCGCCACTCTTCTTTCCCCGCGGTTTCTGTTTCCAAGAGGTGTTGGTGTCTCCCCGTGGGGGAGACCGCGTCAAATCGATGGGAATCACCCCTCGATGTTTGTGTGTGTTGCGGTGGCTGCTGCCTCCGGGGGGGGGTGGAACCAAAGGGTCCGTTTCCGGATCCACGACGATGGGATTGTTCCTCCCGCCTCTTCGTTCGGAAAAGGCCTCGGCCCCTCCGTTTCGATCCACGACGAACGGAGTGGCCTTGCGTCCACGGTGCGACCGGGGCAAGCAGGGTGCATTGCGCCAGGGCATCAACGACCAACGCGGTGGGGGTGTGGTCGTGGCGTGCCGATCGTAATAGGCTCGTATCGCAAGGTGGGAACGGGGCAAGCAGGGTGCATCCCGCAAGGGCATTGACGCCCAACGCGGTGGGGCTGTGGTCGCGGCTTGCCGATCGTAATAGGCTCGTAATGCACGGTGCGGGGGCAAGCAGGGTGCATTGCGCAAGGGCATTGACGCCCAAAGCGGCGGGGTTGTGGTTGTTTTGGTGGTTTTTGGTTGTGGTTGGTATTGTGGGGGTTCCATCGACACCGAGACCGACACCGACACGGCGGTGTGCGGTCCTCTGCTGGGCGGGGCTTGTTGTCGCCGCCGGAGATAATCCGGGTGACGAAACGCCGGGTCCATCGGCCGGGGAAGGATCGATGCTTCGGTTGATGCTTCGGTTGATGCCGCCGACGACGGTGGCCTTGTGGTCGTTCCAGCTCCCTCTGTCGAAGCTTAAAGCATCCAATCTAATCCAGTGCTAGCATCCAGACCGTAGGTGCTAACACTCGAAGGCTACTCCGAATTGGATTCGCGAACAGACCCGGCGACGAGAGAATGTTAACCCGGCCCGAACTTCCACACTTCCTTCCTTCGTTGCTGCAAGGCCTCTGCTCTCCCTGCGGGCGATGTGATCTTCCGTCTCGGATCGGTGTAAAATTAGTAAAATCAATGGATGGTGGACGAACGCACGATCCCTGTGTTTGTGTTTCTGATTGTGTTTGTGTTTCTGATTGTGTTTGTGTTTCTGTTTCGCAAACATTCATGCAATGCCAACGCCCGCCTCGCCGGAGGGAGATATTGCGGAAGAGGATCGAATCTGCATCGAATCGATTCGTGCGCGTGGCCAACAATCACAACCACAATCACAGAGACACAACCAAAGAGACAGAGACACAACCAAAGACATGATTCGTGGAGACGAGACGGGAATGAAATTTCGAACCTCATCGCATCGCACCGAACCGAACCGAACCTCTATCTCTTCGCCGGCAACAACAACGACAGCAGCAACCACAGCAGCAACGACAGCAACAGCGACAGGAACGAACGCAAGCGGCACGGCGCCCGTCCATTGTGGCCCGGTGCGGTGTGGTGAGGTGAGGTGAGGTATGTTGAGTGTTGGGAAATTTAGTGTTGGGAAAAAAGATATTTTTCGGGTTTTACGAGTACGAGTTTTGTACGAGTACGAGTTTTGTACGAGTACTAAGTACCGTACGCAGAAACGGTATCTTCTCGAGGTGGTTGCTGCTACGCTACTTGTCGCAATCAACCAAGAGAGTGGAACTCAGCTGGTACTAATACTGACAATTGCAAAATGTAAACCCCAACCCCAACACTAACAACAGATCTTTTCTGCTACTGATAGTACGTACTCGTACTCGTGGTCAAGCTTTGCACGTTTGTTGCTTTCTCATCATACTGTTCAATAAGTATCTTAACTTCATTGTACCGCTACTATTATTTAGTTTTTTCTTACCACGCAAACTAGGTGCTAGGTGTTCCAACCGGTAGGTTTTCTTCTGTTTCGTTTCGTTTCTCGTTTCGTTTCGTTTCGGCCCTATCCTTTGGGCTCCACATGCAATCGGTACGTACCGTACGCATTTCCGTTCTTCCTTCCTTCTCCCGGAAACCTTGTTTGCCTGCCTGCCTGCTACAACAATGCCGCAAGAACAGCGGCTCCGGCGGCGGTTGCCATGGCGGTGCCGGGCACCCCTCCGGTGTCTGCCGCGGGGCCCGCCAGATCGCCAAACAGGGCGTCTGCGCTTTCGCCATCTGGCAAGAGTCCCACCGTGATGCCAAACGAGCTGCCCGTGTCCGTGTCCGTTTCCGCCTCGCCGCTTTCTTGGAGGTGGCGGCGCGAGAGATCGTCGCTGTGCCTCGAGAAGCTCGCGGTCAATCGGCGTGTTGGGATTTCAACCCCAACCCCTTCTTCCGGTGACTTCTGTTCCAGATCCACCCTGCCTTCGCACGTGAAAGAACCTGCTTCGGATCCAGCGTAAAATTCTGGAGTCACTACGGTTTCGAAATACGCAACGCCAGCGTCCGTTGCTACCGCTTCGGGATTTTCTTTGCCATCGATAAAGTCCACGGGATTTCGAGCGACGCTTGTCAGCTGGTCCGCAAAATCTCCGTCTGTCACCACATCGGTCCCGGCACACGTGACATCGTGGAATCCGACCACGGCAAAGCCTTTCTCCAGCTCCGCCTGCTTCGGGCCAACACAGACGTGGAAGCTTTGACCAATCGCGTAGCTACGGCCTGGGTTTGCAGAAGTCGATGGACCGCACAGATACGCGTCCACTCCAATTTTTCTGGTTTCTTCTTTGTCGTAGTTTTGGACATTGCCGAATTCCTCAACAAGAATTTCTTGTTCAAAGGTCTGGAAGAGTCCTTTCGCATCAATCTTTAAGGAAAAAAAGGTATCGAAAAAGACGACATAGTCGGTGTCGTGCTTCCTGGAAATCCGAACACACGCCTCGAACGTCCCGACCTTGAAATTATCCGCGTTGATCGGTGTCCAGACACTAGAATCGTGTAGGGGCATTTCAACTAGGGCAGATCCTAAGAACAGCGATAGATTGAAGCAAACGGAACGTATGCGCAGATTAGTTTCGTGCCTTTACACTTTCTACCGTGTAGCAAACCAACGGATGGAAGGGCGACGAGGCTCACAAACTCACCATAATCTCCGTCTTGGGTTTGCCCGATGTTCCGCCATTTCTTTTTTCCTTCGGCGTCAACATAGGCAGCACCAAAATCGGTAAGCAGAGTCAAGAGGTCACCCGTGTCGCATGCTTCGCCGCGTTCCACCCCTGCAAAGGCCTCAATTGTTGGTAGATATCTACCATCCCAAGTCTCGCTGTTGCTGTTGCCATCCGTAAATTTGCCTTCAACGTTGACAGCAAGGACCGCGAACTCGTCTCCACCATCCTCGACTACCCTCATTTTAGCAAAAGGTGTGTCGCTGCCATCTTCCTTATCTCCGATAGCATGGATCTCCCAATCCCCGATTCGATGCCTTTCTCCTTGGACAAACCATGATGCACGATCGATGCTGAGCGCAGCAAGACATAGTTTGGGCAGATGCATTTTCCGGTGTGATTTTCTAGGCACCGCAGAAGGTTTCTGCTTTTCTCTTTATGATAATGTGATGTCGAACGGCAGAGTACCGGTACGAGTACGTATTGTGGGGTCAAGGAAAGAAAGTATTCTCTCGCTCGGTGCTTCGTCCCGTGGTGCCAAAGTCTTCTTCAAACCCCTTCTTGCACGGTATTGTACTCCGAAACCGCTAGAAGTTTACGCTAACGTACAAGAACGAGGTAGGTTTTGTCTGGGAAGTCGTTCGTAACCTCTAGAGCATTGTATGTCAAGACAGACTATGCGCTTAATGGCCCTCTTGATGTAGTTGACTACGCGCTTAATATCGCTCTCGATATTTGTGTGATAAAACGATGTGCTGTTCTTGACAAGACAATCGCTGTCACAAGACACAATCTGAATTGCCGCGAACAAAGGAGAACCGCAATTGCAAGAGGCAATCTGAATCGCCTTGAACAAAGGACAACCACTATACTTATCACAAGAGTCAATCTGAATCGCCTTGAACAAACGAAAAATTATATCCAACCGACTAAGAAAAATTCCTTGGCTGTTGTGTTCGGTTTCGAGGCGTTATTACACTATGAATAATAAGCTCTATCGCGGGGTATATAAGTAATTTATCTATTTTCAGAACCATTTATCTTGGCTATTGTGGTCGGTTTCACGGCGTTATTACACTATGAATAATAAGCTCTATCGCGGGTTATATAAGTAATTTATCTATTTTCAGAACCTTTACAACAGCGTGTTACTTAAGCGTGCCTCTATGACGAACAAAAATATCAGCAAATGACCCATTGAAGGTTCTTCCTGTGACCCGCCCGGCATCAAAAATATATGCCTGAACAAGAAATCTGACCAAAAACACCGAGGCTGCATCCTACTGTATGGATGGAATGGTCACGTGGACATCATGGCTGAGTTCCTCTCCACGTTGGGATTCTAGACATAAAAGTACGAATGTATGTGTTTGGGGGTTGGACGTGATCCAAATTTCGACTCGAATCTTTTCCAACCGGCAAGTAGGGCTGTACAAGGGCTCGTACCAGGTAAAGCAGTTGATCCATCCAATCCCTAGCGCGGACGCACAACAACACAACACAGCACAACACAACACCGCATCGCACCTTGCTACCGCCAGAAGTACCGTAAGGTACTGTACGGTACTGTATCTGCAGTCCAGGACATTCGTTGTGAATCGCATTGCATCACACCGCATCGCATCACATCGCGTTTCACACCCACGGTCCCGAGATGCTTCCGCGGCGCAGCATTCGCATGCGCATTGGCAATAGCAATAGCAATAGCATTCGCATTCGCATTCGCATTAGCGGGACAAGACCAACCACGTGCGGGGCAACAGTTGCAAGCGCCAGTGCCAGTGCCAGTGCAAGTGCAAGTGCAAGATCCCTTTCTCTTGCAAAGCGGAAGCAGGCCGCCGCCGCCTTTTCTTGGATGCAAAAGAACTACTTCCGAGAATATCAACCGGTGGGGTTCCGATGGTTCTCTGGAACCACCAGCAGGAACAGAAGCAGAAACAGCAGCGACGGTGAATGGCTTGCGCCACCTGGTGTGGACGCCGGTTCGGGTTGGTTTGGGAGAAGGCGGAGACCGCACGGCCTTATCCCCGGCTCGGATTCGGATTCGTATTCGGATTCTTGCCCCGCGGACCCGGGGGACGGGCCTGCCTCCCGGAGGCACGCCGAAGACGTCCTCCGAACCTCCCTGCGGGAACTGCGGGTCCTCCGGGCACGCATCGAGCGAAACAGCGACAGAAATAGCAACGGAAACGGAAACGACAACAGAAACGGCAACAGAAACGACAACGACAACGAAAACCACCACAGCGAGAAAGCGGTGGCCTGCATCGTTCGCGACGGCTTCCGGCTGCTGGACGGCCTGTCGAGATCCCTCCCGCGGGCGGAGGAATACTCGTCGTCCTGGCTCTTTGGTGATCCCGAGGAGGGGCCTTGCGGTGGTCCTTCGTCCGGGGTTTCCGGTGCAAGTTCTTGTGCCGATGCTGCCGGAAGCGTGCTGGACACCGCCCTCCTCAACGAGCTGCTCAAGGAATGGGCGATGGCATGGAAGGCGGGGCAGGGCGCAAGAACTAGAACCGGAACCAGACCAAGACCAAGAGAAGAACCCATCGGCAGTGGGGTGAAACAAAAACATCTCCTGCTGCCGAACCCGACCGCGGTGGCGGAGAAGGTGGACGACTACAGATCCACGTCGCTGGTCCAACCGGATCCGACCTCCTTCAACCTGTTGCTGAATGCAATGGTCCACACCACGGCGGCCACCCGCGCCGAAGGAAACAACAAGAGCCACCGGCGGCTCGGGCGATCGACGAACGGCGTCAACCTGGCCGACGACTACCTCCGCCGGTTGATCGATGCACAGGAGAAAACAACAGGAACGTCAACAGGGCCATCAACAACAACAACAACAACAACAACAACAACAACACAGCCTCCGCCCGGAAGGTTTGTCGACGTCGTCTCCGTTACCACCGTGATGAAGGGATGGGTGGATCTCGACCGGCCCCTGGAGGCGGCCGAGTGGCTGGAGCGGATGGAGGGGGGCAGGGTTCCGAGCGTCCGTCCGAACGCGGTAGCCTATGCCATCGCGGCGAAAGGGTGGGCGGGGGCCGGGAAACCCCTCCTGGCGGAATCCGTCCTGGAATCGGCACTGCTGGCCTGCACCAGGGACCGCCGTTTGGACCCACAACCAAAAGGATGCCACGCCGGGGTAGATCCGGCCATCGATCGGGTGGTCTTCCACGCCGTCCTCGATGCCTGGGCGGCGAGTGCTTCCGGGAGGGGGGACCCTGCCCGCAACCACAACGGTCCCGAAGGCCCCCATCCCTCGGTCCGAGCACTGGCGCTGGTCCAAAAGATGAAGGACCTGGCGGACACCCACCCCCACCGCCTGGGACACCTCTATCCCAGCGAGGAAACCATCGGCAAGCTGATCGCCGCCCTCGCGCCGCACCAGGCAGGAAAGCGGGATGGCGACGCTTTTTCTTGGTCCGGCCCGTTTGCCGCCGAAGCCATGCTGGTGGACCTCGAGAACGACACCACCTGGGGCAGAACCCCGGCCGTTCTCTCCAATCGGATCCTGCGGGCCTACTGTTCCAGCGGGAGGCACATGGAGGAGGCCGAGGCCTTTTACCATCGCCGCTGCCGGAAGCATCTCGGTGGCGGTTCCGACGACGACAAAGACGAACACGAAGACGAAGGCTTTCCAAACGAGGCGACCTTCCACACGATGCTGGCCGGGTGGGCCAGAGCCGCCGAGGTGGCAAAGAAACGGAACAAGCACCAGAAGAAGAAGAAGAAAGGATCCGGACCGCACCGCACCGTTGGTGGTGGGGGCAGACCCGCCACCACAGAGGCTTTGGCCGCTGCCGCGGACATTCCCCTCCGGGCCGAATCCTGGCTGGAAGAGATGCGAAGGAAGGGTTTCGATCCGCCGTCGGCGAGGGCCTGCAGCAGTGTCCTGCAGGCGTGGAGCCTGTCGACTCGTTTCTACAACGACGCGGCCGATCGCGCCGAGGACCTCCTCAAGCGCTTGGTCTGGAACGGGACGCAAAAAACCACCGACACCAAAGCCACCGGAGGGAGCAGCCACGGAATCACCGTTTGCACAAACATTGTGCTGCGGGCATGGTCCAACCAGGCGTCCGGGGCATCCCCCGGAACCCCCCTGGGTGGCCTGGCCACCGGGCGCTGCCTCCGCCTCTTTCGCGAGTACCTGGCCCTGGCCGAGGAATCCCCGCCGTTTATGGTCCTCCGACCCACGGCCGAAACCTTCCGGGCGGTGCTGCACGCGGTGGTATCGCCCTCGAACGGAATGGCCCCCCCACAGAAACACGACCATTCCAGGGCCGTCCTGGCCCTCATGGAGGACGTCTACAAGATTCGACCGGGAAAGGACGATCTGAGAAAGCTCCGGCGAATGGAGTCGATGAAAGACAGCTACCTCCGGCGAACACGCCGGTAATCCGTACGGGGACAACGGATGGAACCGTGCACGCGGTCACGGTTTGGTTGTCACACAACGCAGTGCTCTGCCGCTACCATTTGCTTACAACGTAATTCTCCATTTCGCAAACTACCGTACCGTTCGGTGCAAAAATTCCTTCCTTCACTATTCCTGTCGTTTGGTGTGTTTCTAGTTCGTGATTACGTGGTTTTATTTATTCATACTATCATTAGATTCCCATCGATCCGTCGATCTACTGTCTAGGTTCTCTTGGCCATGCGCTTGCGCTGCATGCGCTCGAATTTCTTTCGCAGGCGTCCTTCCTTGATCTTGCGCTTCTTCTTTTCCTGGGAGTTTTCAAAGTATCGCTTGTGGCGAAGTTCCATCATGTGTCCAGAGTTCGAGACGGCACGCTTGAATCGACGGAGGGCACTCTCGATGGGCTCGCCGTCTCCGACATTGATCTTGACCTTGACATCGAGCGAAGTGATGGGTCGTGCACAGGTCTTGTCTGTGGGAGCGCATTCGAATTTCGGAGCGAAAAGGGAAGAAAAAAGGAGCGAAACAAAGACGTGAGTATTCCAGTTTTCGAGGAACAACTCAAGAACTATAAACCATAGTAAACGGAACCGGGGTCGTTCACAATGCCCTTGTCAAGGCGGCAACGAAGGCATGAAGTAACTCCACAGATCCGGTAAGAAATGAACTGCAACGCGCATAATCAACGGCATCTTTTCAAGGGTTCTTCGAGCACTTCTTTGAAAATGGTAAGAGAGTACACTTCATTGTTGTGTAGTGGTATATTTTTCTATTCTGCATCGATGTAAGACTCTCTGAAACAGAACCTGTTTGATACCTAGCTATTTGCATCAAAGTTTGATTCATGCCATAGCAAACTCTCCCTGATTTCAAAGTACCACACCCAATTTTTCTGACCATCGAAAACAGACCAGAGTGACGTTTGCTGATGCCGGATTCCAGCAACACCGGAAAAGGACTTCAGTTCCACACGGCTTTGCTCTACAGAGTACTCATCGATTGACAATCGCCTGGATGGCATCAACTCTATTGGACCCAATCGAAGAAATTGAAGCAAGCCGATACATTCCCCGATCCGTTCTTCGCTCACAGTGTTCCTCGCCACACAACAAAACTCTGCTCTCGGGGGAGACGTAATAGACAAAATGATACTTACGCGCAGGAGCGAATGCCGTAGCACTCAAGGCGACAAGGCAGGCAACGAGAGCCGAAAGAAGGAACGAAAACTTGGCCATGTTTCTATATCTCTTCGTATTGTATGTCGTTGGATGGGATGGTTTCCAATACTTGCAACGATTACTTTTGAACGAGGTGATGGGTGTTCGCTCGTGTGAAGGATCAGACGCCTTCTCGGTGTTGACGCAGACTGGTGAAGGCGTGTATTAGTACAAGAACAAACGTGGTGGTTCTCATTGAGTTCACATCACATTGTGTGATGGGAGGCTGAGGAGTTTCTGTGTACAAAACACGCGTACGCACGTCAGTTTCAAAGATGTAACGGAATATGGAATCCAGATTCTTGAACAAAGAGAAAAATGAAGTGGTGTAGTGATCTTCGTAAAACACTGTGACATTGTTATTCAGAGTTAGAGTTAGAGTTAAAGTGCAGGATTAAGAACACCTTCCGTATGATTCGGTGGGCACGATTGAGAAAATTGAGAAAATGTTCCGGGCGGTCGGGTGTCCACGATTGAAATACAGGGTGATTTTAACTCCAGGCTCAAAAAATAAGAAGTACTTCACGTACAAGCACTTCGCACGATTGCAATTCAATAATTGCCTCAGACACAACCGCCACGGAAATGTTCCGAGCACCTCTGTTAAGGCCTATCGGAATTGCACAATCTGGTCACAAAATCTATTTCCATTCATTTCTACTATCCACTATCTTGTGCTATGCATAATCGCTGTAGAACGAACTAATCAGTACAGTTGGAACAAAATGTCGTCTCCCGCCACCCAAAGTGCAATCATTCCACCAGGCAGTAGAAGCGATGAAAACCGTCTCGCCTCGTGCCTGGTCTTACTCAACGAGGTTGACGAATGGATTTCCGGTCCGATGTTCCGCTTGGGACTTCCCAAATGGTTCGAATTTTGGTACTCGATTCCCGCATGTTTCTTTGGTACCACATTCACCAGTGTCGCGGGTCCAGTGTGGATAGCCTTGTTGGCATTAGTGTGGGGACAGCATGACGAAAAAGAAACTTGCGGAGCAGAGCTGGAAGACAACATTTTTCTTTTGAAAATCATAACTTTTTCCGTAACTGTTGGTTACGTTGTGATGTGGGGATTATGGCAAATTGGTGGACACGAGTATCTTGCAGGTATTGCTTTCTGGAATGGTAATGTTTATGTTCTTGGGGTCCCTTTCAATATCGCAGTACTAGCCTATATTTTAAATGGCTTTCCATATAGTAGCTACCAGGGCAGTGAAACAAACTGTAGTGCTGAATACAAGAAAAACATTTTTTCGATGGCTATTTATCCGTTGTTTTTATGGCCAATCTTAATCACGTTGTTAAATTGGATGAAATCCACCTCCAAGCGCAGCCGCCCCGCCTTGAAGGATATCGAACGAAAAAATGCAGAAGGCTGCGGCAGAGGAACAAGCGAAAACTGGACACAAAAGAAAAAATTTCCAGCAATGACCCAATTGCTGGCCAAATACAACGGAGATGCATCTTTCCCCTCTGGTGACGTTTTGTGTGCGACAATGGTTGCCTTGTCTATCTTCAATATTTCTTCTGATGTCAGCCACGCTTATCGTCCTTCCCACCTCGCATCCACTATTGTGATCCTTGCGGGAACTGGTCGCATGTATGTTCTAGCGCATCACTTTTTCGACGTGATGGTGGGAGCAATTCTCCCTTTCTTGGCACACAGATTGGCCACCAAACTGGGATGCGGAATGTTTGACATGGAATGGTGGCATCCTCTCCTGGTGTTGGGAATCTTTTTTGTCATAAACTCGATCACGCGACGAAAAAGTGACGAAAAGAAATCGACCAAAAACCCTCTGGCTGAAAAAGAAGCATGATGTGGTGGGTGGTGTAGGATGCTCTAATCCCAAGACCGTAGGGAAATTGTAGACACAACGCAGGAGTGAAAAAATTGATGCAGATCAATTGCATGAATACAATTTCTTCAGACGAATACCAGTTTCATTTTCAACATGGCAATCCAAAATATACAGGGAAAAATTCTATAGATTAATGTGATTTATAACTTCCTTTTGCTTGCGTTGAAATATATCTGTTGCTATCTTCAAAGTATTGCTGACAAACAGGCATCGCATCCCATAGTTTTTGATCCTTGGCCACTAGGGTGCCCATTCTTGACACGAACCAAAAGTTGAAGCGATTGTATACCATTGGTCATAGGCACGACCCTCCCGCAATTGAAGATTCTCCTGTTGCTGTTGTGATTGTCGCCGGTACAATTGTTGTTGTTGCCATCGGCATCGAGACCTTTCGAGAGTGTCCCCGTGGACCGATCTAGGTATTCGAGGAGTCGAGTGGCACCAACCACTCCGATTCCGTGATCAACTCCGCGACTTGTAGAAAACCCACCCGTCGTGATGGTTCCTAGAGAAACATCGCTCTCGCTGTCGCAGATTCCAGCACAAACAATCTGCATGCCGGAGCGAATCGTGCCCTTGCCCATCGCGCGGATGTGCACCATAAGGACCGCTGGAAGCGACAAGGAGGAAGACAGGCCACGGCACATTTCTCCAAAAGAAGTTCGGTCATCTCGGGACATTGGTGGTGGAACAATCACCTGATTTCCGGCACGTGTTTTCCTACGATTTCGACGACGGTGATCATGGTCCTCTTCTTTTTCCTTGCCCATAGCCACCAGTGTATTCGGCACGTATCGTCCGCAACATCCCTGAATTGCGTTCAGAAAGGGCTTACCAAAAACCCCTCGGACCACAACTACATGATCAGTAGTAAAATCGCCATCTTCCGATCCAGTGCCTATACCGTTCTTATTGCAATCGACAGTGTTGGCAAGAACTCGAAAATCGATGATCGAGAGTTTGTCGAGTCGGCATGCTTTGTTGATCGGTAGGCGACCCCACCCCCCCTCGTACAGCTGCCTAATGCGATCCCATGGTGAGGGCAACGAAGATGATTTTGTCTTCCAATAACGCTGCGATTCCTTCGTGTCGACGTTATCTCTTGGAAAGACAAGGAGCGGTGGTTCACACTCTAGCCTCAAATGGGAGTCTTCCACCAGACCAATGGCACAGCAGCCCCGAATCTTTATTTGGGGTTGGCTTTGATCCAGGAGCTCACAGTTCGAAGAATCGATATCCCGAACGGTTGTGGAAGTTTCTTGCAACTCGAGGCGATGAGTGCTAGCACCGTCGTCAAAGGTTACCAGTGCCAACCACAGGGCGCTAGCAAAGACTCCGTCACTGCAGTATACACTCCAGCCCGAAATGGCCCGATTGGCGGAGCAGTCAAGGGGTCTCGGTGCACGATAGATTAGGGTCACACCATTCGTCGCAATGGTACCGCTGCTAGAAATCTCTGCCTGCTCAATGCGAACCACGGTTCCGTTGGGCAGTGGCTCTGAAAAAGGCGTTCTGCCTTCTCCGTGTTCAGGTTTTAGAAGGCTCCTGAGCGAATCGAGGGAATCGCTCTTCGGTTTTAAAACTCGGTCAAGAACTGTGGTGGATTCCATCCCGTACAACCGAAAACAAATCTTGGGTGACATTGGCGTTAAGGTTCTGATTGAAGCTCCGTAGCTGCTGACACGGCACAGCTGAAGGGCGCAGTCACCACTAGTCTGAATCAATTGTTCTGCAATCCTTATGAGTTCCGTGTGGATCGAGGGGTGGCATCTAACCTCAATGAATACTGCGGTACGGTTATTGTTGTGGTGTTGGTAGTTTGGGAACAACAGCCTCCGCCACGTCGTTGGACCAATGGCCCCTGCGGGAAAGGCATCTAATTCGTGCAAGAATCCGTCGACAGCAAGGGAACCCTCGCAAAAGGCCGCTTGTTGCTCCTCGTGTCCGTTTTGCAGGAGCGATACCAAACAGGGGCAGATTCGGCTAATGCGCTGGAAAACACCGCTCCAGCTAAATTCTTTTGGGTTCCCATTTGAATCTGCGCTCCCGCTTGTAGAGATCTCGGCTCGAAAGATCGTAGGTTGCTCCTCCCAGGTAACATCTCTTATCAGAACGGATGGGGAAGTTGCGGCGGCGGTAAATGGCTGTTCCCTTGACAATCGCAGCGCCGCACGTGGTCCACGATTGGTATGCACCAGGGGAATCCCTGTCCATCCACCAAAGACATCGTTTTCCTCCATGTCATCGCCGGATTTTCCGCCGCCGTTCTTGGCCCTAGTTGGGGCAGTAGAAAGCGTGTGGAAGCGCTTTGCATGCCATAAGTGTGTGACAAGCCACTTTTTCTTCCCATGTTTGTCGTCCTTTGTGTTGTCCTCATTTTGATCGTCGTTGTGTGCAATATTGGTTAGCCATTTTTGCCGCTCCCTTATCAAAAGGGATCGCTTTTTACGGCGGCTCTTTCGCGTTGTGCCCCTGTATTCCGGTGGGTTCTGTACAGTTCCCTGCTCGTTACGATGCCGATGTGAACGTGGATAACGGTGGCGATGCTTCCTGCTTTTAACTGCCGTCGTTCGCCGCCGTAAATGCCTCGATGAGGTTTTCCCACCCCCGCTGAGTAGTGTTGGTGTTTCGTGGACGATATCGAGGGTTGCGTCGACGCTGCTGCTCGCTCCGTCTCCGAGGTAGCAATGATACAAGTTCTGGAGCTCCGGCAACCTCCTCGCGCCAAAGGTGGAAACAGCAACGGAGGACGTGGCATCTAAAAAGGAGGGGGCTTCTCTCCAATCTCGGTGTCCATGATGGTGGGCGCCGCTGCCGATTCGGCGTTTCTTGACGAGGTTGGGATCGGAATTCCGATTCGAATTCGGTTGCTCGAACGCCATGCTGGTTGCTGGTTGCTGGTTGCTTAGTTTTGGGGGTTTTTTCGTAGGGTCTTTTTGGATTTAATCTTGGTTAATTAGTACTTCTCGTACTTCGTCATTAAAAGGGTATTAATGTTGTAATTCACAAGAATAGTGAGGTGATCCAATGCGATGTAGTGTAATCCGATGTTGTGATGAGATGAGATGCGATGTGATATGATGTGATGTTTCTTTCGTACAGCTCCATTCGTTCGTACTCGTACCATTCCTACATTGGATGGTCCGCAAAGACCACGACTGCACTCCTCATGACTGAGGATGGAGCTCTAAGGTATTCCTGTACCGTATGGACCATACGTATCATGGATCCAAAGATTTTCGATTTCGATTTTCGGTTCCATTCATCCAAGTTTCTTTTTTTCTCCCTTCCGTGATGAGGAGTTTTCGATTCGTTGCACACCCCTCCATACTCGATTTTGGATTTTGAGCATGATTTCGGGAATCATCAACCAATTTCGATTATTTTCGAAAGGAAGAAAGAGGGTACAGTACCGTATTTGATTAGTTTTTGTTTCTTAGGAAAGAATTACTACGAGTTTCATAACAATTGCACACGGTCTTGCCCAGAGAGCAAGAAGTAATAATTTGAAGTTCTAAACTTCGATTTGAAGTTAAGAACTTCACGTAGAAAGTCTACCAGTTCTACTGAGCTAGTTTTTGGATGGCATTCATAATTGAAAGGCCAGGATTCATAATTGAATCACCTCGAACCATTTAATAGGAATTCCATGCCATGGATGCGAACCAAGAGTAATTAATGTTTTACAGACAAAACACAATATGTCGACCAAATGAAATTTAAGTATCAAATGCAGAACACTTTTTTTCGTTTTATGTATGGTACGGGTACAGTAGGGAGCTCTCTCTGCCCTTACTCGTACCTCTCAACCAAAAGGTTGTTTAGCTACATTTCAAGATACACATGTTATTGAATACAATTGTATAAGCCAAGCGATATTAAACAGAAAAGAGGATTAATAGTAAGCAGTTTGAAATGTGAACTAGTAGTATACAATAATATCTATTGTATATGGTAACTTCTGTTCAAGGAACAATATACCGGTACGGCGAGTGCAAATCAAACACATTATCCATTGAATAGATTCCAGTAAGAACAATAAGTAATTTTATGTCTTAATCTACTACATCACACCGTACGGTGTTTTTGTTTCCCAAGGTACGAAATACTTTAGTTGTGAATTAAGAAAAACGGTTTGTGCCTTTAATCCATAACATATTTGTCTTGTCATTCAACAATACTTATGCTGCGCGAGTCTGAGCTGTTAAGTGTTTATTCCGAAGCAACTATTTCTTCAATTAACGCCAACATCATAATTATCATACTCCTCGTACTAATAGAGTCATATTGTTTGTTTGTTCTCGGCGCTACTTTTTCAGAACAACATTCGAAAGAATATCAGCTGTGCTCGTCGATACCGATGCTCTGTGCAAGTTGTCGAAAGTAAGACCCACATAACATATCATGCGAGTGACACGAATTTGCGTGGACCAATTGGAAGAATTCATTCTGAGACACGTCTCTATGGGGAACCTCCGGTTGCTACAATGAAAACAACGACATATTTTCCTTGTTACCGCACGTCTGATTGCTTGATTATATTCAAATCAACGATATACTAATAAATGGTTACGCACTACATTCCTGCATCAAAGCTTCCGAATAACGCAATAGAAAGGGCAACAAAAGCAGAAGAAGAAATATAGACCGTCGCCAAGGGAGAGGAAGGAACATAGAGCTCAGCGAAGTGAGAGGAAGCTGAACTTTCGATAAAAATAAACGTACGTAAGTGATACTTGAAACGGGTATCAGATCAGGTGGGTGCATTTCTTGTCTTTTGTTGTGCAGTGTTCCTTGTCACTTCGCATAGGTATTCATGTGCATATTCGCATTCCTTTGCCTTTCTTACATCGCTCTCACCGACTTGCTCCATAACTTGCTAGATCTCAGAAATTCGACATGAGCAGCTTGGGGAATGTGAATCACGAGGACCTGCCTGAACTTGTCCGGGTCTTTCATCTGCAACGAAATGGCCTGGGCACCAGAAGGAATGAAAATGAAAATAGAAGTACGAGTACGACTTTTAGTGGTAGCAGCTGTTGGTATAATACGACGAAGGGAGACTGCCATGGGAATGTTACAGGGAAAGACCACATACACTGCTTCGATTACAAAGCAGCCACCAAATTGCTTCGCGAAAAACCGGGGCAAGTGCAATATGTTATCTACGATGGATGGACAAACACGAACCGTTGCCAACACGAACACGACGGCTCGTCCTCTTCGGTTTTTGGTAGCAACAAGAGCTCCGTGGAACACAGCGGGGGCGGCAACGTATTCAACAGCAAGTGCAACTTTTTGCATACGCCACTCGGATGGGCCTGCGTCGAAACAACACAAGAAGAAGACGCTATGGAATTCTTGAGAACGGTTCGTGACATCGATCCAACGCTATTCTTGGTGCAGGATCGCCATGGCGCCCTGCCCATCGAGGGCGATTGCATTCTCAACGCCTCGATGCCGATGCTCCGCTTTTTGCTGGAGATCTATCTAGATTACGATTTTTTTTGTCCAAACGGCCCCAAGGTAACCGAGGACAATTTCAATCCGCTCACCTGCCTCTGCGGATCTTGCTGGTGGGAAGACCTACAGCAGGCCCATAGAGAAATCACCTCGGGGGATCGCATAGTGAAAGGAAGATCTGTTCTCGAAGACAACCTCGGAATCGACGATAATTTCTGGGCCCGGATCATACTCCTGGCCAAGGCCTTTTACCACAAGACCATAGACGATGTACACGAGAGCAATAGCAGTGCCGGACTGAACTATCCACCCCAGCTGCTGCGCATTTCCAACGAATACGGAGATCGAACCATACGATTCCGACTCTTGCACGCTTGCGCCGGCATCGATTGGTTTCCCCCGAATCTTCTTCGGCTCCTGGTAACTGCCTTTCCGGATACTCTCTTGGACCGCGACGAAGACGGAAACCTTCCGATCCACGTTGCAGCTTCGGGGGTCTTCGATTCCTACAAGATCGATGCGACCTGGGAAGGCGACCTACAGGCAAATTCCGGTTACCAGAGAACAACCATTGATATCTTTTTGGAGGCCAATCCGAACCTGGCCCGCGTCCCCAACGAAGAGGGAAAGCTTCCTCTCGAGCTGGCCCTCGAGTGCGAATACGAACCAATCAACGACTCCACCTCTCCGGACGACGCCATCTATAGCAGACCCACGACCAGGCCCTGGGTAGACGGCGGAATCCAGAGCCTCCTGCAAGCATTTCCCGCGGCGGCTGGAATCAGAAGCCTCGCCAACCGAAAGCTGCCGCTCGAGATCGCGATCGAGAACCACCGGGAGTGGGAGGACGGCATCAGAGACCTTCTCGAGGCCTATCCGGCAGCGACGAGATCTTGCAACCCTTTCACCGGCAAGTTCCCGCTGGAGCTGGCCATCGAAAAGGAAATCCACTTTGACGAAGGTGTCTACGGCCTTCTGGAGGCCTCCCCTGCGATGGTCACGGACGAGAGCGGTTGCATGAGACTATCAAGGACAGGGTCGGAGGCGTCCCCCAAAAACACGGATTCGGCCGACAGCACGACAACGACACTTCCGCTGTTTGCCCAGTCCGCCGCCGAGGGTTGTTCGGTCTCGGTCATCTACAAGCTCTTGCGCACGTGGCCACAATCTTGCAGGATTTCCCCAAGATGCGGGACCAAACCGAAGAGCGAGCAGCTCGGTGCTAGAACGACAAGGAGAACAGCTACTACTGTGTTTTGTGATGTGCCTTCGGGGAAGAGGCAGAAAACATCACCACACGATAGGACGACGGATACTAGGGATGGATTCCAAACAAATGATATCGAGCACGATTGATAGATATTGAGAAAACGAATACCTGTCAAAACAGAACGAGCGAAACCTTGCATTTACAACAAGGCAAGGATCCTTGATCATCATTACTGTGGTCTGTCTAGAATTCGAATCGGAATCCGGAACGGCTCGCAGCGGTACGGTACTGGATCGTGTTCGTGAACACCGAAAGCTACCGCTTTTGCCGCACCGCACCGTACGCCGTGGGTCCTCTGCGGATCCAAGGCGACCTGGAAGTGGTTCCTCGACGGATAGCACGGTGGCCTGCTACTTTGCCACCTTTTGTTTCGTGGGCAATCTATAATTTTAAGTAATGGTTACTACAAGGCATTTTAGAAAAACACCCTCCTCTATCGCATTGCTATATCTCTGACCGATCGAAAAGGCTTGTTTATTCAATCGCGCTGTGACAGTCAACAAATAACGACGGCGCAAGTTGGTATCTTTCGGATCAGCCTATTCAATATTTTTCAAACGCCTCATCAACACCTCTCGGCTTCCATCAATGCCACTGTCACCCTCGACTTCGAGCAGCTTCTGTCGCAGCTCGGTCACTATGATAGTGTCTATCGAATTTCCCCCGTGTTGGTGGTGTTTGCATCGGCCCGGGTTGGTGTACCGCAAGAGTTCCGACAACAACGTTGTGGATTCTGTTTCTTCGACGCGGCACCAGTCTTTGCCATCGGTCACCTCCCGTGGTTTCTCGGGATACAATTCCATTGCTGCTTCTTACAATAGAGCACACGAATGAGAATCCGCCAGCAGCAACAAGCCCGCAGCCACCGGTGGGGCAAGAAACTTCTCGACCAGGGTGGATTCTGCATAGAACTCGAGAGTTTTGCACCCAAAGCGATCGGCCTCTCGGAGGATGTTCCTTGCAAGAACCTCGTCTGTTCTGCGCGGCACTTTGCCGGTGTAGACGAATGCGAGCACGAACAAAAAGGACTTCGCGTCAACGTCGGGTAGATGGACTGTTAGGAAGCTCCAAGTGGTGAAACCCCGATCGAAACCCTGCTTGATTTTGCTCTCGTCGGATGCAGAAAGAACAATGTCGTACAACTCCTTTGCTTGTGTTTCCAGCAAGCGTCGGTGCATTGCTCTAGGTTTTTTTTTAGCCCAATGAGGAACAAAGTATCCGCTGKGATTATCATGCTACAGGCATAGAGCTCGAAAACGTGTTTTTCCGACATATTGGGACTGTTTGGTTTACACCAAACAGCCTCCGTAACGAGTCCCCTGCTTAGTTTCCCAGATCCCCTTAGTCTACTAGTATAGTATGCGTTGGTGGGTTAAGCAGGTGTTAGAGGGAAACCGGTCAACCCTAAGGGGGATCCACGTGGAAGGGCCCTTTCCCGTTAGGGTTAGGGCTGTCCTTCCGTGGTCCTTTGGGGACGATCCGGGTTCCCGGAGCCTGCTGTTCCCAGCCCACTGGCGTTCGCTTACTATTACTAGCTGCGAGGCGGGTGGGTGGGAAGAGCGCTCTTAAGACTATCTTACTACTGTTTCTTCTGTATCTTGGTCATTGCTGGTAGTAGCAGCAGTAGACTTAGTGAGCTGTTGAGCTTGCTGAGCTGCAAGGCGCACCTCTTGTTGCTGCTGCTGGATACTTCCTAGTACTACTGTACTGGAGCTGGAGCTGCAGCCTCCTCCACTCATTCTTTCGTTGCGCGCGCTCGGCGCGCGTTGTTCTGGTTCAGTCGCGTGGGACTCGCTACTTCGACTGTTTGGTTTACACCAAACAGCCTCCGTAACGAGTCCCCTGCTTAGTTTCCCAGATCCCCTTAGTCTACTAGTATAGTATGCGTTGGTGGGTTAAGCAGGTGTTAGAGGGAAACCGGTCAACCCTAAGGGGGATCCACGTGGAAGGGCCCTTTCCCGTTAGGGTTAGGGCTGTCCTTCCGTGGTCCTTTGGGGACGATCCGGGTTCCCGGAGCCTGCTGTTCCCAGCCCACTGGCGTTCGCTTACTATTACTAGCTGCCAAAGGGCCAAAGGCAACATGGGYGGGAGCGGAGCGAGGGAGGGGAAGAGAGGAGATGGTAGTGGAAGCGGAGAGGGCGGGGGAGCGGAAGGAGCTCAGGGAGCGGCCGGGACGCAGTCCTCGGGGAGGAAGCTGTAGGTGCCATTGTTGAACATCAGCGAGGCCAGATTGCGGAACAAGGGGATTGACTGTTGGTGTAAGTACCGCATCATGGCGTYGCTGTGCCAGCGTGCAAGGAGTTTAATGACATTGGAGTCGCATTTTCCTTGTAGGAGAGCCATGGCGCCTCCGGCGCGGAGGGATCGAGCGCTGAGGGTGTGGGGGTCGATACCCGTAGCGTGGCGGAGGACTGCGGCGTGCCAGCGCATGGTCGTGGTGACCATRCTGGCAGTAACATGGACATTAGTGCCCTGTTGATTGTAGTAACTGGCTAGTTTGATTTTGCCAATATRCCGTTGTTGGTTGTGCGTACGGTGTAACAAGAACTGCCGCGCCACCGCGGCTACCGGGCAGCAAAGGGGATCACCGCTTCGAGYGTGCGCAATGACATCCCCTTTGTTGCCATTCTTTTGGGTTGTAAATGTGAGGTKGATTGCGGTRGCGGCGTTAATTTCGGAGGCTGTTGCCGTAGTTGAGTTGAGACGCCGTGACCCTATAAAGAAGGCCACGTCGTCCAGGGTGAAGGCTTGATCATCAGTGGTTGTCCCTGTATATTCSCCGGGACGCARGCAGAAAAAGAAGGCAATACACATCATGTTGGCTATTGCTTTTCGTTCTGCCGTTGGTCGCTGATGATACGCAAACTGGAGTGCATGAATGATTAGTGTTATAGGGACCGGCTTTACCCGCGACGGTGGTTTGTCGCGGTGCCGATAAGCTCTGAATTGGGATGACAACCGGTAGTCTAAGGAGCCATACCGGTTTAGTCGCGGATCAGGGGACCCCAAGCGGGTGAACGTCTGGCCCACTGAACGGATGGCGTCTGATACTGTATGAGCTCTAGCGCGTTTGCGGCTGGGGGAGGCTCTGCCGTCGYGGTATCTTGCTCCGAAGACTTGGAGGAAGGGGACTGGATCCTGGGCTCCCCTGAGGAAGGGGTCCAAGTTGTGCGGTAGGCAGAATTGAAGCCAGCAGGCCCAATGGGCATTCTTTTTCCCTGCATAGCCACGAGTGACACTGGCTTGYATGGTCGCTTGGACAAGGCTAAGATCAGTGCGGAATACATGGGCTTTCGAAGCCGGCATTCTTGCCAAGGCAGTTTCTGTGGGTATGAACGATTGAAGTGACGTGCAAGTTGTGAGTCGCTGAGGTGCCAAGCTCGGGAGAGCTCGTCTGCCATGGCATTGGCTGCTCCTGGTATATGATCATACACYGGGATATAGCGATGAGCYTTTTGGTGGAGAGCTTGGAGCCGGAGCAGGTAAGCCACAGGGCCTGTAGTGGTRGCAGCTCCTTTTCGCTGCCAGTGAACGGCCGCAGWGTTATCAGACAGTGTGTGGATGGTTCGTTCCACAACATTGGCGGCTTGTGCTAAGATATCCTGYTGTGCGATGGTTCCGGCTAATTCTAGATCACTGTTGGTGATCGTMCCAGTGGGATTAGCAAAGGACACGAGTTCCCGTTGAATCCACTTAGGGAACGGAGCTCTCCAGTACAGGGGCTGTATTTCCCCGTTTTCTGTGGGGACAAAATGTACTCCCCCCATCCCTGTCCCCGCAGCGTCGCAGGCTCCACAGGTGGAGGGSCACGTGTCTGGGACAAGCTCYGCAATCCTAGTTGGTCTGGATGCTACTTCGTGGGCTAGCCACCGGAAGTCGTCTAGGAAACCGTGGAGGGCTTTAGTTAGCCGTAGACGGTTCCGACGCCCATCCTTGTGCCGGAAGGCTTCYTGTAGTAAAGAAAAGAACCCCCGGGCCCCTGGGAKGGCTATTGACATGGAGCGGAGTTCCCCCAGCAGCTTATGCCAATCTGGGATCCTTGCATACKGTTGGCCTGGCTTTATTGAGCCCAGTATTTGGTGCAGGCGCTCGATGCGGTGACTCGGCAACCGTATCGTTTTGTTCCGAGTGTCGACMAGCCATCCTAGKATGACTTTGGTAGTGTCCCAGGTTCCGTCCCCYTTCTTTAGTTTCTTCAKGGAGGCCGGCTCCTGGCGGTAAGGTGTRTCCCCCTGGTCCAGGGGTCGAAACACTTGATCCAGCRAGTGGAATAGGGCTCGTTTTACGGCTCTCCTAGTCCACTGATTGCCCTGCACAAGACCACAGAAATCATCCACATATATGTCCCAGTATCGCAAGGGCTTCTTTAGCGGTGTCGTTGAATCTCGTGGGAGCTCCRGTGTGTAGGGGTAACCGGCAGCACTCGTAMCAGCGGAGGCTGGGGTTTCTACGGATTCCGAKACTAGGTCTAGTCGGTGGGCCTGTCCCCGCATACGGTGCAGGCCCCCCTTTTCCCGGAGGACACTGTTGGCTAGGTCTGCKACCGTTTCTGTACAGGCGCTGAAGTTYGGGGGTGAGGAACACCAACCCATCGGGTTCGTGAGGGGGATCCCCACAAGTGGCTCTTCCCCGGGTCTTGTTGGGAACAGTACGGCTAGGCCAATGGTATCCTCGGGCTTGACCCATAACCGATAGAAGCCGTCAGACAGRTCTATCTTGGACATGTACACAGGTCCAAACCGGGTATTGGCCCGGTGGATCCGTTGTAGCAGTCTCTGTAGGGTACGGCCRAACTGCATGGCTTCAACAGGGGCCAGAGGAAGTGTATCTGCATTCACTCCRAAGTAGCTGTAATCAGAGATCATGCGGTCCCGCCGTCCCCTTTGGGGGACTAGTCCTAATGGGCTGAGTCTGAGCCCCGGAATCCKTTTGACCAGTTCTGCAGGAAGGACGGTCCACTGTTGTTTATCCATCATATCCGCATACTCTTCCCGGAGGAAGGCGATGCCGTTGTGGGAGGACTTGTGTGGCCCCCGGGCCAGGGCTGCYTCTATCTTTCCTTTGCCCCACTCCGGATCCRTCATCTTCGCCGGTGTYCCCTCCCCCTGGAASGTCCCAAGAAGGGGACCAGCGGGGTGAGGAAGCTTGCGAACMTCCGGGTGTAGGTCTCCCCGGCCCCGCACTGAGCGAACAAAGTCCCCCCAGCTTGGGGCCCGTAAGAAAGCCGCTGTGGCCTGTTCCACGTGGTGGTCSAGCCTGTCCCTTGGATACGGTCTAGGGCCAGACTGTGCGGCGAGGGAGGTCGGAGTCCTCYGTAGCTTGTGGGGCCCGTTCCCGTTAGTCTCAGTGACGGCTGGGAGCTCGGTCCCTCTTACCGTGGTGTGGGGGGACGAGCGGGCTATCTCCGGATCGTCCTGTGGGCATGGAGCACTGCGAGGCTCCTCGTTAAGTTCCTCCTCTGAGTCTCGGCTCTCCGGGGGATGTGTATTGTTGTGTACAACCGTGTTCTACTATGATTCTTACCTATATCACAGGGGAGCTCGCTTGCCTCCCTGTTGCATGTGGTTGCTCGTCTTTTCTTTGATCCTGTGTCTGTCACCACTGAATCCAGAGGCTTAGGTGGGGGCAGTGGCACAGCAGCGGCACGGGGAGCAGGCTGCCTGCCCCCTCTTCATTGTGGCCCATAGGCCTCCTGGCACCAGTCCCAGAACCGGTCGTCTTCATCGYCTTGGGACTCTTTGTGGTCATACTTGAGCTTACAGCTGTCGTAACAGAAGCCTTTTGCTCGCCAGGAGTGGCACATCTCCTTGCCGTCATTTCTAAGGCAAGGGCCCTTTCCTTTTGCCTTCATGTTGCCCATTGCCTTAGCGATCTTCCAACTCTTTAGTTTCGAGGCGAGCTCGCCGTCTTCCRCGGCGAGCCTGGGATCTTGGTGGTTGTTTTCCACTCGTATTTGCTGGGCTTGYGAACTTGAGCCTTTGGATCCGGATCCTCCGCCCGTRGTGCTTCCCCTCGCTGTCTTTCCAGAGGTGCCACCGCCCAGCTGTTTATTAGTGGTCTGCTTCCGTAAGCTTTGGAGGACGGGCACGTCGGAGACTGTAGGGAGCCAGCTAAGGTTCCTACTTAACTTGAAGTTGCGGAATTCCTGCGAAAAACTYGGTGGCTCCACTACTGTATCGCTGTACCACTGCTCCTCGAGCCAGCAACGAACTCGTATCTGGAAGTAATACACGAGGATTGCCGGCGCCAACTTGCTACCGCATTCGTCGACTAGTGCATGCCGGAGGAGTAGTTGCATCCGCTTCAGCCGGTCTAGTCCATCGATATAGTTCCGTACGATAGGATGGTCGACTCCTACGAGTGTCCCCAAAACCGGCAAGTACCCTTCGATCTGCAGCAAGGCTTCYGTCCAATCGGCTGGGATGTAACACTTGGCTTTTCCCAGTGTAAGGGCATCGTTGAGGTTGATCGAGTTCCCTTCCGTGGARACCATGGCATCGTATGCAAGGGCCGCTTTCGCATCCTCCATCTGCTGTTTCCTAGCAGTGGGGGACCCCCCTGGTGGCGTGAAGGCTAGCGGCAGTATACCATCCGCTAAATCGCATTCGTCCACTCCGAAGAACCRGAAGGCTTGGAAGGCCTTTATTACCGCAGTGGTTATAAAGGGGGGCTGTAAGCCTAGTTCACGSGCCCCTTGGTCTACATGGCTTTGAAAGAGGGCATGGAGTTTCTCCCCTTTCTTTTTACGTGTCCAGCCTTGGTAAATTTGGGGCAGTTCCTCTGCGGAGGTTACTAAACATAAGGACTGTAATCTCGTGACGTTGAGGTCCCCAAGGACGTCCCCGATAGAGGGGGGCTTAGCTTCTTCCGCTCGTCTTCGTTCATTGGCTTCGTTCGCTCTCAGCTGGTTATCGGTGAGTGTGGACACYGCAGCCGTGAGTGCAGCGGTCTCGGGCCCCAACACGTGTGTGGGRACCGCTACCAGCCCTTTAAGATCGCGGTGTAACACCTTTTGCTCCATGTACAGCGTGAGGTCTGCATCTACTCGGAATAGCGGTCCGGGCTCATTTGCAGCTATTTCGCAAACCGTTTGGTTATCTTCTGTGGAGGCGTTAGTACCGGCAACTCGTAGGGAATCCAGTAGGGGCCCGGCAATAGTTTCTAGGCCTTCGTGCTCCAACCATGGTTGTATGATGGTGTAGGCCTCGCGTGGCSAGAGGCTCTTGCTGAGCACCAGGGGCATYAGCTCGAAAGGGATAAAGAAGGTGTGTCGGCACTGGAGTTCTTCAATGGTACCCGGTCCTCCCCCCTCAGGGATAGGGCTGATAAAGCTCAGTTCCGGATGGGCCTCTAGGAACAGTCGATGATGCAGAGGCGTGTACACTCGTCGCCTGTTGGGTATGAGGGTAAACATGCTAGTGGTTACTTGTACTAACTCCCCTCTCCCTGAGACTACATYGTCAAGGTAGCCAAAGAATTTGTTGGCGTTTCGRGAGGGGGTCAGTAGGTTCCCCGGATACTTCCTTATCCCGTGTATAACGCGTAGTCGTGGTACTGAGCTCTCATCATTTACGAAGATCCCCACTCCGCCAACCGCTTGTGCTTCAAAGAGGTTGAGGACCTCCCCCAGCACTTCGCTGGCCGAGAGGGGATTGGGTTGTGAGGCAAATCGTTGATAGACTCCTGCGTAAGCRCTGTGTCGTCGACTCGTATCAGCGCCAAAGGGATTGGCTGCTGGATCTGCGAACAGATCTGCATACCGCAACGGATTAGGGTCCGCTGTACTGCTCATAGCCTAGGGTCCTACGGGTTGCGTAATCCGTGAGGGAGTGGGGGCGTGCCAGGGTAGGCAAGGCCCCAATCTTAACTAAGAGCGCTCTTAAGACTATCTTACTACTGTTTCTTCTGTATCTTGGTCATTGCTGGTAGTAGCAGCAGTAGACTTAGTGAGCTGTTGAGCTTGCTGAGCTGCAAGGCGCACCTCTTGTTGCTGCTGCTGGATACTTCCTAGTACTACTGTACTGGAGCTGGAGCTGCAGCCTCCTCCACTCATTCTTTCGTTGCGCGCGCTCGGCGCGCGTTGTTCTGGTTCAGTCGCGTGGGACTCGGTACTTCGATACCCGGCACGTGCCCTTGTACGGTAAGTAAATAATTTGTCAATTGCGTACTTGGGGTACGTAGTACCCGTACCGGTACACAAGTACTGTATTCGACTAAGTGGTTCAATTATACGGTACGATTAGCCACGGTGTCGCTTAAAGGCAGCATTGGTACCTGTGATACATATGTGACGTACAGTATATCGTACTGTTGCAGTAGCAGCAGAGGATGATATTTCTACATCGATCAGATACTACCGTACGGTACGTAAATTCGTATTTCCTCGACAATTTTGTTGACCCTGAAAGTAGTCATAGCCCCTGTAAAACTATGCCCTGAAGAGTTCTGAAAATGTCATGACAAAGGATCTAGTCGAATTGGGCTATTGKATTACACAAAGAATAATMATAATATAGCGCTTATGGGTAAGAAGTGGTGTGTGAAATAGAGGTACTGAAACTTCGTGAATCTTCTAGGAGGTCACGACTAAAAACCATATTTCATTTGTCTGGCTTTTTGTTTGTCTCATCAAAAAAAATTATGTGAGTCGTCATGAAAATTTAATAATGGAAGAACGTTCCTGAAAAAATACAACGAACGCTGTAATGATATTACTCTGGGAGGAACATCCATCGAAGACATATATTTTATGTCGACGTTATTGATCGATTTCTACTCATCCTCGTGTCACAAAGAATCTAAATCAACCGTGAGTGGGCGAGAAAATCGCTTGTATTTCGAAAGAACAGCACCAAGCACTGAACTTGGGCGTGACTCGATAGAAAAGCGCCCTCTACCACCACCACTCCGCTTGATTGTTATGACTCGCTTTCGTTTCGTTTCGATTCTGTTCAGCAAATTGCTGCTGGCTGCGATCGTTGTCGTGGAAATGGGATCTACCGTGGCGTCGATCAACAATTCTCTGGATGGATATTCGTTTGCGTGTGGGGGGCAGGCAAATTTCGTTCCGGCGGGGCCTCTCTACGGATTTGTGGGCAGCGAAGAAGTGCACTGTTTCGCTCCGGATGGCATGGGTGGAGGGTCGACCTACAAGTGCGGATCGTACGCCTTCAGCGGGAGCAGCAGCCCTGCGTCGCTGGTGATCAACGGCGACGGCATCTGGGAGGGGGCTGAGGTCACCGCCAGCAATCTCTGGTTCGGACAAGGGGGCGTTTTGGTTTCCTTCCAGACGGATCTTTCGGCGGTGCCCTGCATCGTCACAGGTCTGGACTGGCAGGTGATAGAGGACAATCCGGTTTCGGTGCGGTTCGATTGCCCCAACCAGAACGCGATTCCGGGGATTTCCTACGAGGTCAACCAATTTATCCTATCCAATACCGGATACGTGTGGTTCACGTCTATCCTCGAACCGGTTGGGACCGTGGCAAGAAGCGAACAGACCATCCGGAGAGACTACCACGGGGTTTTCCTCTGGGAGAGGGAGACCAACCGGATTGTCATGTACTCGGGGGAACAAGCGGGAGAAGATAAGATGGCGTTGAACGGAACCCTCGATCCGACGACCGGTGAACTTTACATCGACGGTTTTTCCCAGGCAACCAACAAACCATGCCTTGCAACAACGGCAACGAGTGGGTTTCTGTCTTCTCTTCCGTTTTTGGAATCGTATCCCATCCCAGTACTTTTAGGTCAAAACGCCGGTAATGATGAAACAAAGAGCACCGACAATGCCAATCCAAGTAGCATTGATGGCGATAGCAGCAACACCGCCAGGGATGGCATGGATTCTTCCGTCTCCGCGTATGGTCGAGCCACTGGCGCCAATGAACGCAACAGTGACGACAATRCCATCATCACAGTTGGCATAGGCGACGGCGATAGGGATGGAGATAGATTCAACGCCGTCACTCATGGCATGTATTCTTTCTCCTCTGGTTCTTCGCCGCTGCGACAGGATAATCGCTTGAAAACAATTCTTTTGGCTTCAGTGGCCCTTCCCCTTCTATCGTTATGATAAAAGGATGCAAAGAATGCCATCGGTTTTAATATCAATGATCTAGTTTTGCATGGAAATCTTCTCTGGGTAAATGGATATTAACATTTGTCTCTTGTATCTCCCTCTTTCACCTAGAATCTATCCAGATATGCCATGCTTGAAGACCAGCACTGCACCCTGCTATCAAACCACTTCCATTAACTATTCGATGACAAAGCATCAACTGGACATGCTTCGAAACTGTTTTATAATGAAAATGTACATAATTATTATTGTTTAGCAAACATGTACTCGTACTCCTCGGTAAAAATGGAATTGGGCGCGGTCGAACAGTTTCTTGATTTTTCAAAAAACGGAGATTGTACCACCATCAATCAACCATGTCTTGTCGTTGAGAACGGTAAGCCCCGCGAGCAGGCTTTTCAATTGTTTTTCAATCTTCCTACCGTGCTGCTGTTGAGAAGGTATCTACTCATATGTGTTGCTTGACAATGGTTTCAGTCGTCAATACGCGTGATTGGTTCATTCATTCTTCTTTGGAAGCACTGGTTCGTTTCCTCGCTCCATGGTGGCCCTGTATGTTCTAAGTAGCCTGGACAACTTCTACCTTCGTTTGTAATTTCTCAATCTCCAACTTCACCCTACTCTTGGTGACAGACCTAACTGTTTAGTTCATTGGAATCGATTCCACTAGAATAATGCTATTGAAGTCAACAAACATCTGCAAACGTGAAGCAAAAGTTGGGGTTCATTGGTTACTCCAAGACAGCGGTGCCTAGGAGAATGCTTCGTCTAGTGGTCTTTTATGGCCACCTTGTTGCTGCTGCGGATTTGCTTCTGCTATTGCTGCATTCGCTCGTTTGCGTACAATCCCATTCTTCCATTTGAGGAAGTCGAGCAAGGGAAGGAGTATCGCGTCCCTGTGTATCGTCAGAAAATACCATAGTGCTGTAGGATTATCCTTCARGCAGTCCAAGAAAACTGCGAGTTTTTCGGGCGTCGGAGACCGCATCAGGGCACCGCGATTAGCTTGATTCAATTCAATCAGCGCGTTGAATTTTGATTGGAATGATTCGTTGTCCTGTTTTGGTAGTAGTGTTTCGATGCGATAGAAGTAGTACAATGGGTGCGATGAAAAGAACGAAAAGGGATATAAGAAATACGCKAGAGCGCGATGAAAACCCATCGAGCATTCAGAATCATTCAAACTTACCACCATGAGTGAACACCATAAATCATAGTTGCGTTCGAGCGAAGACAAAATTGCTTCATATCCCTCATTCCCAATCGACGGATTCTGACGTAGATCCAGGCTCGTCCAAAACGAAGGAGAATGATGGCTATTTGCATTGCTGTCGCTATCATTATCCTCGTCATCCTCGTCGCTACTGTTGCACTGCTGTAACAATGACGACGACGACGATGTTCGAGTAGTATACTTGTTGTTTGGGGGGTCAAACGCTTTTGCAAGAGTTTTGCATGTATCGTCGTCGATTCGCATCCTCCTCAAAGCAAATTCTTGCAGAGTCGACGAAGACCGACACAAATACAGCAGGACTTCCCTGGAGATTAAACAACTCGATTTAGTAGAGGATGGCAAAGAGGACGATGAAGACAAGCTGCTGCTACTGCTGGCTTCATTGGCATCACGAATCGCCAAGCCATCTTGCTGCTGCTGTTCTTCGCCGTTATTGCAATTGCAACCGCAACCTGTCGCACAAGATATTGCCAACAGTTGGAGGTTTGCCATGTCACCGCAAACCCGAATAGCTGAATCCAATGGATATCTCCTCCTCGTTTGCTCTTCGCTTTGTGCTCTATGCAATGTACAGAGCTTATGTTGGTTTTCGGATGTCGTGACAGTTGTTGGGGTCGGTGTTTTTGTCGTATCACAAAAGGAAATCGCTGTGAGGCGGAGGTCTTCTAAGGAGTCCCGCAACGAATTCAAGCACTCTGCAAGCAACATGGCGTCGTTATTTTCGATGCTATCACTCGTAATTCGCAACTTCAATCTCTGGATATCTAAATACTGCAGGTTGTTCGCACGTGGTAAGTTACGCAACAATGCTTTAGTATCGACAAATCCGTGGTCCTTTCGTGGGATGTATCCATCGGAAATAATAAGAGATCGCAGACTTTCAAGAGAACAAACGTTTTGAAATAAATGGTCCTGTTTGCTTGGGTTCCCGTCCCCACTGGTATTCCGATTAATGTTGTTGACATCATTGTTCACCTGCTGTTGCTGATGGTCAGCAACAACAGTTCTCGACAAGAATTCGTGACCTATTTCAACCCGATTGATGCTCCAATTGTTCGGTAAAACAACCATTAAATCGTTGAAAAACACATCGAAATTGTTTCGATCTCGCAAGGATTCATTTATGAACAAGTAGAGGGCGTCCAACTTGTTTTCCCGGATCCTTTGGATCAAGCTCTGCACCATGATAGTGTAGGGGTGTGATGAAAAACGTGCAAACTTATCGGCAAAATTCCCGCACTGATGATGTCCTGCTCTCTCGATGATATCTGAAAAAATCCGACACCCGATCGAAACTCAATTATTGCACACTTCACCGCTTTACACTACTCCTAAAAAATGATATAGATTTCGATTTTTAACTGCTTCTCATTTCCATCGCTTATGTAAGTGCGGTGCAGCTCCGTCGATACATCCATGCATTGGACGATGCCGGCAACGGTGGCTATGAGGATGTAATTTCAATTCAATCCTCAACATTCCATTTGTACGGAACGATTACCACCAACCGGTTTTCTTTTTTACAAGATTTACTGGGTCTCGTGCTGTACTACTGGTTACGACATACAGCTTACGGTGTTTTGTCGGAAATCATTTTTCGAGAGACGTCAGTGTTCACTCTTACTCGTACGAACGTCCAGTCTTTTTTAGGGAGTCAGGAACCGAAACCACGGTTTCGAAAATCGAACCGATTTACGTCAATTGGAGAAGAAGGTTCTCTTTCCATAAGTAATTATTGTTCTTTCATTTTTGAATGCGTCATCACTACTCTCAAAGACACTCTTCATCTTGTTTTTCTCAAAATCTACTTTTGCGGATCATTCTCTAGTTTACGTTTTTCATGTTTTTTGCAACTGGAGACAAGCCCTTCCGGAACCCA